GCGGGGTGCTTCCACCTCCCCGCCCCAGCCACCTCACTTCGCCCTTACACCCCACGCCGCACCTGACGCCCAAACTCGCCGCCGACTCCGGCTTTCCCTCCGCTGGCGGAGCTCGCCCCACGCCACTCAGCCAGAGCCGAAGCCGAGGACGTCCACCCTCCCGCCTTCTAGCCGGCTGGGATAACTTCCTTTTGCAATCCTGTTCAGCGGATGTACTAGAGCGACGGAGCAGCTAAGGCTCGTACCCGGTCCTGTCCCGCGGCCGGACGGTCCTCAACGCCTGACTCAAACCCCGGGCTGCCTCGCATGAGTCCGACCCTGACACCGGGGAAAGCACGGCAGCTGATCCTGCCGGCGTCCACGCCGCGAGAAACCCGCGTCCCGCAGGGCCCGCCCACGCCCAGCAGGCTGTGCGCCCAACGTCACTTCCTCCCCCCAGAAGTCTCTGCGTTGTAGTCCTCGGCTTCGCGGGCTGCCCTCTTGTTTAGTTATAATAGTAGTCGTCGTAGGCCGTCGTGGTCGCTAGGCCTCACGGTTCTGCTGCCATACTGGATATTTCAAATACAACTTTTTTTGAGTGGGGGGGTGCCCCGCGCGATGGCTCAGTGGCTAAATCCTCACCTTGCAAGCACAGAGAACCCCATATGGGCATTCATTCGTGTCTCGGCTGCTTCACTTGCCCATGCAGCTCTCTGCTTAAGGCCTGGGAAAGCAGTGAGGACGGCCCAGAGACTTGGAATCCTGCACCCAATTGAGAGACCAGAAGAAGCAGCTCCTGGCTCCTGGCTTAAGATCGGCTCAGGTCCAGCCTTTGGGGCCATTTGCGGGGAGAGGTGAACCAGCGGATGGAAGATCTTTCTCTGACTCTCCTCTCTGTATACCTGACTTTCCAATAAAAATAAATAAAAAATCTGGGTCTCCCACGGGGGTGCAGGGTCCCAAACCTCCACTGCTTTCCCAAGCCACAAGCAGGAAGTTGGATGGGCAGTAGGGCTGCCAGGATTTGAACTGGCGCCCATATGGGTTCCCAGTGCTATTGCGCTGGGCTGTTTTTTGTTTTTGAAAAGCAGATTTAGAGAGAGAGGGAGAGACAAAGGTTTTCCATTCACTGTTTCACTCCCAGAATGACTTCCATGGCTAGAGCTGGGCTGATCCAAAGTCCAAAGGAGCCAGGAGCTTCCTTCGGTCCCCTGTACAGGTACAGGAGCTAAACACCTGGATCATCCTCTGTTGCTTTCTCAGACACGTTAGCAGGGAGCTGGATGGAAAGTGGAGCAGCTGGACACAAACCAGTGCCCATATGGCATACCGGTGCTACAAGCAGAGGATCAGCTTGCTGTGCCAATGCACTGATCCCGAAATACTGTCTCCATTTTGTAACTCTTCCCAAAGCATTGCTCTTTGAATGATTGATGGCATTAACATGATGGCATTTTAGTGGATTAGGTCATGTTTTGCCAGCTAAAGCCCTTAGTAAATATTCAAAGAGCTAATATTAATGCCAGTTGTTATGTGAATTAAAGACATTTGGCCTGGGAATGGCACTGTGGTGTAGCCGGTAGAGCTGCCGCCTGCAAGGCTGCTGGTATAATTCCAGTTGCTCTACTTTTGATCTGCCACCCTGCTCATGTGCCTGGGAAAGTAGACAAGGATGGTCCAGATCCTTGGGTCCCCGTCCCCCAGTGGGAGACCCTAAAGCAGCTCCAGTCATTGTAGCCATTTGAGGAGGAAACAACAGCTAGACTATAACTGTTTCTCCCTCTATGTGAAATGATGCCTTTCCTTTTCATTGGTCCGGACGATATTCTGCCAGCTCGGCTTTTAGACCAGAGATGGTCTCCCCAAGAAACTGTTGAATTGATCTGGACAATAAATGCTGGACTCTATGCATGGTACATGCTTGCAATGAAAGAAGCATTACTGGGTTTGAATTGTAATACTGCAATAAGGTGGAGCAATCCACCATGGGGGGAGGGTAAAGGGAGGGGTTGGGGGAACCTCAGAGCCGATGAAAGGATGTCATAAAATGAAATGTAATTTAAAAAAAGGAAAAAAAGAAATTATGCCTTTCAAAATATATAAATCTAAAGAATTTTTTTAAAAAATTTATTTATTTTTATTACAAAGTCAGATATACAGAGAGGAGGAGAGACAGAGAGGAAGATCTTCCATCCGATATTCACTCCCCAAGAGAGCACAACGGCCAATGCTATGCCAATCCGAAGCCAGGATCCAGGAACTTCTTCCGGATCTCCCACACAGGTGAAGGATCCCAAAGCTTTGGGCCGTCCTTGACTGCTTTGCCAGTCCACAGGCAGGGAGCTGGACGGGAAGTGGAGCTGCCTAGATTAGAACCGGCACCCATGTGGGATCCTGGCACATTCAAGGCGAGGACTTTAGCTGCTAGGCCATGCCACCGGGCCCAATAAAGAATTTTTTTTTTAAATTTAGCTTCGGGCACAGCATAGTGCCCAAGCAACTAAAGTCGTTGCCTTGAACGTATCAAGATCCTATATGGGCACTGATTCTATCCCCAGCATCCCCACTTCCCCTCCAGCTCCCTGCTTGTGGTCTGGGAAAGCAGTTGAGGATGGCCCAAAGCCTTGGGACCCTGCATCTGTATGGGAGACACAGGAGAAGCTCCTGGCTCCAGACTTTGGATTGGCTCAGCTCCACCTGTTGCGGTCATTTGGAGAGTGAATCAACGGATGAAAGATCTTTCTCTTTGTCTCTACTCTTTTTTTGTATATCTGACTTTCCAATAAAAATAAATAAATCTTAAAAAAAAATTTTTAGCTTCATAAAGGTTCAGTCCAGGATAGAGACAACCATGGTGACAAGAGTTGCCTTGCACTTGAAGCTTTGCCTGTGCTGGCGCATGACGGATGCTGCCCTTTGAGATACATCTGTAGGAGAGGGATCTTCAGAAATGCATGAGGAGTTGGGGTTTAGTCTATCACTTAACATGCTTACCTCCTATGTAAAGATGCCAGGCCGCGTGCTAGCGTCTGTACTTCTCATTCAGTTCCCCACGAATGTAGTGGTCATGGCTCATGCACTGGAGTCCCTGGCCACCCATCAGGGAGGCCAGATTGAACTTTTGGCTTCTGGCTTCTTGACGCTTCCCTGGTTATTACACACATTTGTGGAATAAATCAGCAGATGGAAGACCTGTGTCCTTGTTTCTCTGCTTTTCAAATAAACATTTCTTAAAGATTTATTTATTTTATTGGAAAGGCAGATGTACAGAGAGAAGGAGAGATAGAGAGGAAGATCTTCCATCCATTGAGTCACTCCCCAAGTGAGCGCAACGGCCGGTGCTATGCCAATCCGAAGCCAGGATCCAGGAACTTCTGGGTCTCCCACGTGGGTGCAGGGTCCCAAAGCATTGGCCGTCCTCGACTGCCTTCCCAGGCCACAGGCAGGGAGCTGGATGGGAAGTGTAGCTGCTGGGATTAGAACTGGCGCCCATATGGGATCCCAGCGCATTCCAGGTGAGGACCTTAACCATTATGGTATTGTGCCAGGCCCTTTCAAATAAAATTTAAAAAAATAATAATACAAGTGTTTTTTTAAAAAAAGATCATGAGACTAGAGTAACCTCCTTCCTTTCTTGACCCCTTCCCTCATCCACCTTAAAATTTTTTTTTTTTTTAATTTGAAAATCAGTTACAGAAAGAGGAGAAACAGAGAAATCTTCCATCTGCTGTTTCACTCCCCAAATGGCTGCAATGGCCAGAGCTGGGCCATACCAGAGACAGGAGTCTGGAACTTTTTCTGAATCTCCCACGTGTGTGCAGAAGCCCAAGAGCTTGAGTGACCCTCTGCTGCTTCCCCAGGCCATTGATATTTACCATTTTCTCATTCTACTTGTATAAATATTCCTCATGTTATATATTTTGAGGTACTGATGATTTAACAAGATCACAAAATTCCTGAATATGTCAGTGGATTTTTTTGAGCTGGCTTTTTCATACCATTATCTAAAGTCATTTACCTTCATGGATTTCAGTCTCCTCATTGACAAATAACAATGTGGGAATAGACGATCCAAAATCCAAAATGTCGTGACTCAAAAACAGACACACTGATGACCCAGTTACTTGGTAAGCCTGTAGACAATTCTGTTGTTGTGGGTTGGGGCCATGTCTCTTTCATTCACTACATGTTCCCTGTCTCTAACACATTGCCTGAGACATGCTCACTTGTAATTGAAATTTTCTTTGTTCTTTTCCTTTAATATTTATTGTTTGAAAGGTGGAGTAACAGAGAAGAAGAATTATCTTTTATCTGCTGTTTCATTCTCATGGCCTCAAACTTGGGTCAGGATAGGCAGAAGCCAGGAGTCTGGCACTCCATCTGGGTCTCCCACGTGGGGAGCAGAGAGGACTGACGTATTTTTCAGAGTGGTGCCGGGGGACCGGTATAACGGTTCAATGGCTGAATCCTCACCTTGCAAGCAGCAGCAACTGATATGGGTGCTGGTTCGTATTTTGGCAGCTCCACTTCCCATCCAGCTCCCTGCCTGTGGCCCGGGAAAGCAGTCGAGGACGGCCCAAAGCCTTGGGACCCTGCACCCTCGTGGGAGACCCAGAAGAGGCTCCTGGCTTCAGATCGGCGCAGCACCAGCCGTTGCGGCCACTTGGGGAGTGACTCAATGGATGGAAGATCTTCCTCTCTGTCTCTCCTCCTCTCTGTATATCTGACTTTGAAATGAAAATAAAATAAATCTTAAAAAAGAAAAAAAAAAAGAAAATGTCAGACCTGGAAGTAATTTAAAAATAAATAAATAAATATAAACTTTTGCAGGGTACTGAGATCCCAAGTGTAGCTACTTACCCTATTTTATTTGCATACTGCATACATTATCTAGTGAGATGTTGAAAATATTTTTGGAGGCTTGGAAAACATTATGTAACATAATCAGAACATAGAAAGGAGAGTACTTTTATAATGCATGTCATTTGCCCTTTCTTTTTCCAGAATGAGCATCGCTCCACTTGCCAGTCTAAGACATTCCATTTTATAGCTATAAAGAAGGAAAGAGGGGAAGGCCATGGCAAATTCCTTTTCTTACTTTTTAATGATCAAACTCTCAACCTGTTGAAGTCTACAAGGAACTCATGTTTCGACCTGTTAACCGTTGATTGCAGATGTTTCCCTCAAAATAAGCGAAGCGACGCCTGATGCCTAGATTACTTTTTCTTTAGCTATTTGCTCAAGGGCTATGTGAGCCCTGAACTGTAACCGCGCCTCCATGGAGTAGTCTTTGTAGTTTTTTATGTTGTCCAGGTTTTTCATCGCATTGGCGTAATCTCCTTTCAGATAGTGTAGAATTCCCAGTTCATAGTAAGTATATGGCACCAAATAATGGTCATATTTTAACATTTTCTCCTTTTGAATGACACGATGAAAGTAGTGCTCAGCTTTCAAATACTTGCCTAAGTGCTTCAGGCACAGTCCTTTCAGTAAGTTCAACAAACTTAAGTCATCTGTGCCGTACTCTTCATTTGGATTTTCTTGTAATAGGTCTTTTCCTTTGTCTATAATGGATAGCCAGCTTGAAATAAGTTCTATTTTTTTGCTCATGACTCGGAAACCACTCCAGGCATAAATGAATTCCAGAAGGGGCTGTGCAGTGTACCAGCCTGTCGTCGTAGCATACCGCTGACCTTTCTCAGCAACAAACTTTTCTATTGGCACAGGAGTTCCTAAAAATTTGATTCTCAGGCTATCCACTTTTAAAAAGAGGACATTCCTGTCCTCACTGACTGATTTCACAAAATCGGAAGGAAGCAAAGCCAGTATTATAGCTTTACTGTACACGTATAATGCCTTGGACCACCTGCTGTGTTGAGACAGTAAGTTGGCATAGTGGTAAGCCTGCCTCCACTCCTGCATATAGATGTGACACCACATGAGTTCCCAGTAACAGAGGTGGTGAACCTGTTTCCACTCATTCTGGGTAAAAATGCATTCCTGTAACTTTAGCTGTGCCCTTTCAAAATTTCCCCTCAGCATAGTAAAACGAGCATGAAAAAATTTAAGCATCACACAGTTTGGAAATTTATGGAGGTAGACCAAGAAGAGGTTCTCCGTAGCAGAAATTGAGAGCTTTTCAACACCAAAAGCTACGTAGACGTAACTGTAGTAGAAGAACAGAGTTAAAACACTCAGGATGTTATTTATATGGGTCTCGGATGCGCTCTCGTTGAGCAAGGCCAGTCCTACCTCTCTATCACCAGTGTATCCGACAATATTGAGCAGTTTCAGAGTCTTTGGCGGCACAAGTGATAACATCAAATTAAACGCTCCAAGTCCAAATTTGACTCCTCCAACCAGGTGTCTGTGGGCCTTGCTTTGGCTGTTAGGTATATGCATTAGTACTTGCTGACAGTCTTTGTATATTTGGTAACTCGAGCCAACGTTGATCCCACTTTTAAGGAAATTAAGCATGCCGTCATCCTGTATAAACATTATGGTGGATTTCAAGATCAAACACTCGGCGTAGCAGACTTCTGCGTGCAATTCTTCTTCTTTGACAGCTTTGATGCCCTGTCTACTCACCAGACGAGATAAGGCCATTATCCTGGGCTTTTTTCGGAAACTGTTACAGGTTTTCACAGCTTCCTTTGCCGCGCTCATTCCAATCTGTATGTCCTGCGGCTCAAATGTCAGGATGGCCTTGACAACCATCAGGATGCCATACATGAGGGCATGGTATATGCTGTTTTTAGACCATGGGTGAACGAGATTTATGGCATCGGAGAATCTGTTATTTAGGAATAAATACAAAGCAGTAGTACATTCCTCCAAGGAAGATATTAGATTCATTGTCGTTGCCACAGGGATGGTCTCATAGGCGTCTTCAAACGTGTCCTCCTGGTCGGTTTCTCTTCTACTGAGAGAAAGCGATCGACTTAACGTGATCTCCTGTTCGCTCTCTGCTTTGGTTAGAGTGAGTGACATATTGAACTTATCCTTAGGACTATTTTCTCTTTTATTTAGAATAAGTGACATATTTGCTTCCCAACCTAGAGAGGGAAAATAACTATTAAAATGATTTAAAATAATTACAAGTATACTTTAAAAGTACTGGAGAATAACTAAAAGAAAGAGAGAAAATTACAGAAAGATGCAGATTTTCACAATGAAGGGGAGGGAAAATGCATTTTATCTGAGGGAAAAGTTGATGGGAGGCCAGGCTCAGAGGTCTTAGGCAGGTAGACACTTGGTTTTCACACCTAAGATTCTGTTATGTTTCATGATTCCAGTAACTGAAGCCACTGTGCTTTGACAAGCTCCATTAGTTATACATTTACCTGAAAGGCTCAGTTCTGCAAGGAAAAGCCACATAGTCTATTAAAAGGAAATGTTTTTTGGTGCGGCAATAGCACCTGCTAGATCAAGGTTATCCAAAGAAACTTAGATAAGAGATTCAATCCAAGGACAAAGGTTCCTTTCCTCTGGCCTAAATCAAATGATTTCAATTTTCCTTTCTCCATTCAAGAAAGGTCAGGTGTTTACTTTTCTGAGACTGTATAAAAGTCTGTCTGCATAATCACTCCCCTGGCATTTTATGCCTCTCTCTGTTTCTCTCACTCCACTCTCCTTTAGACATCCACTTCTGGGTCCGGCTGCATGGCCTAGTGGCTAAAGTCCTCGCCTTGAACACGTCAGGATCCCCTATGGGTACTGGTTCTAATCCCGGCAGCTCTACTTCCCATCCAGCTCCCTGCTTGTGGCCTGGGAAAGCAGTCAAGGACAGCCCAAACCTTTGGGACCTTGCACCCGTGTGGGAGACCCGGAAGAAGTTCCTGGATCCTGGCTTTGGCTGTTGCGCTCACTTGGGGAGTGAATCATCAGACAGAAGATCTTCCTCTCTGTCTCTCCTCCTCTGTGTATATCTGACTTTGAAATAAATAAATAAATCTTTAAAACAAAAAAAGTCATCCACTTCTACCATGATCCTGGGAGCTTCAAGGCATGCCTTTGTTTTATTCAGCTTTATCTCACAGGTTTAACACATTCCCTTGAACAAAGTAGGCATTAATAAATGAATTTGCTAAGTGAATTTAGATGTCCACAAAATATATATAGCAATTTTTTTGAAAGTAAGTTCTGAACTCCCTACACCCTAGGAACAGATTAAGATACAGATATAATTTTTCTCTCTAGTATTTTTTGGAATGAGGGTTCTATTTTAGCCCACTTCAAGGGTTAATACTTGGATAGTCAATAATGAAATTTTTTAAAGATTTCTTTATTTTTATTGCAAAGTCAGATATACAGAGAGGAAGATCTTCTGTCTGAAATATCTTTCAAAAACATTATATTCTTTTTGTTGTTGTTGTTGAAAGGCAGAGTTACAGAGAGCAAAAGATGAAGGGAGAAAGATCTTTCATTCTCTGGTTCACTCCCCAAAATGACCACAACAGCTAGATTTGAGTAGTCTAAAGCTGGGAGCCAGGAGTTTGTTCTACGTCTCCTTTGTGGGTGCAGGGACACAAAGACTTGGAGAATTTTCTACTGCTTTCCCAGGCACATTAGCAGGGAACCAGAAGTGGAGCAATAGGACTTGAACTAGCAGAAGCTGGCTCAATAATAATTTTTTTAGAGATATTGGGGGGAGGTGCTTATTCTTCTTTTTAGTGTTTCCATTAAGGGAATCTTGTTCTAGAAGTATACTCCTGGGGCCTAGTGTGGTAGCCTGTTGGCTAAAGTCCTTTCCTTGCATGGTTCTAATCCTGGCTGCTCCACTTCCCATCCAGCCTGGGAAAGCAGTCTAGGACAGCCCAGGACCCTGCACCCGTGTGGGACGCTGCATCAATGTGGGAGATCCGGAAGAAGCTCCTGACTCCTGGCTTCGGATTGGCTCAGCTCTGGCCATTGCAGCTACTTGGGAAGTAAACCAGCACATGGAAGATCTTTCTGTCTATATTTCCTTCTCTCTGCATAGCCTGCCTTTCCAATAAAAATAACTAAATGTTAAAAAAAAAAAAAAGGCTATTCCTGCCTGTGGGCTGAATTCTGGGTGAGATTGGGCAAGAAGGTACTGCAGAAAGTGTAGTACTAGAAACGCTATATACCCTCTGGATTCCTTTTTTTTTTTTTTTTAACTTGAAGTCTAATAGAAAAGAAGAAGGTTTTTGTTTGTCTTTCCTGATCTCCAGTTGTGCCGGGGACCAGGTGGATAAATCTGTTTAATGAGGGATGAATTATTAGAGTTCCCCTGGCAACACATGAGCTACCACAGCGAAAGTCAGCTTCATCAGACAGGTGGTCTCCTTCCACCTGAGTCAGCCCTGTGCCTCTCCTCGGTCCTGAACTCACAGGGGAAAGAAGGATGTTATTTATTGCCCTCTAAAACCATCACCTTTCCCCGCTGGATTCCCTTTCCTGTCCTACCAGCACCAAGCCCTATAAAATCCCCTGGTTGGCTGAAATGCCTTTTGCCTGCCCTCCAGCTCGACCTTTGCATACCTCCCTAACCATGCTTAATCCCAAAGATTATCCAACTGTACAAAGCACAGACTGCGAAAGTAGACCACTTACGTTTGAATCCTGCTTTTGCCACTTCTCAGCCTCACTGTGTCCTCTGCTCATCAGCTAATAGGAAGGAAAGGGTAGAACTATGGGAGCTATGCGTGGGGAGAAGTATACGTTAGGCACTCAAGCAGTAGCTGACACACACAGTGACTTGTCTGTAAGCAGCACTGTTCTGTACTTCTCCCAACTGGTCGGCCCACAACTTGCCATATGGTAGTTCCCTACTGAATGATCTTACATGGGATTTGTGGTACAACTCCCTGTTTGTGGCCTGGGAAAGCATTGGAGGATGGCCCAAAGCCTTGGATACCCTGCACCTGCATGGGAGACCTGGAGAGAATCAGTAGATGGAAGATCTTCCTGTCTGTCTCTCTTCCTCTCTGTATATCTTTCTAATAAAAAATAAATAAACCTTAAAAAATTTCTTTCTAACTGTAGCTCTACCTTTCAACTACATACATAAACTTTTTTTTAAAGAGGCAAACATTACATTTTCAAGATGTTTAGTTATTGGAGCAGTGAGGGAAGACTCTCCTCAAAAATTATCTTAAGATTATATGAGAAGTTGAACGTTTTGGGCAAAATCTACAGCCACAGAATCCTAGAACATAATTAACCAGACTGTCTTTACATAGGTGGGAGGGCAGCAGCGCAGGTGAAAACATACTGACACAAAATATGGACAGTTGTGCTTTGAGACAATTTAAGGGATGCCAGATTGAGCAGGCTTATTCAAACTGATGACTAGTTACAATGGAACTAAGTGGAAGAGCACCAAATAAGTTACACATTGGTAAGTATACTGTGAGGAAACAGAAGCTTTGGAATGTCACAGCCCCTAAGGAAAGAGAAAAGAGGGGAACTAATTTGTGAACAATCTAATGAGAATTCTGCACAAACTCCATCAGTGCATTGAGAAGTAATCTGGTTTTAAAAATGTGTTTTGTATCCTGCTAGATGTGTCTGAGGACAAGGTTCTTATATATATTCTTTTATTCCGGTGTTTAAATGCAACTAAGGTAGTAAGAGAAGTAAAATTAAAAAGCACACTGGGGTGACATTTAGTGAAAATCACTGGCTGTGAGCTCTTACACACTGTTCAGCTGGCCACGGATCAGGCCTGGGAGTTAATGCTACCTAACTAGGGGCTGGCATTTGCTTCAGCTGGCATCTCACATGGCAGTGCCTAGGCTGGACCTGAGCTCTTCTTCCCAGCCAACTTCCTGCTGATGACTAACTGGAAGAGGTTTTCTCACTCCCCCTCTCTCTGCTTTTCAAATAAAATGAAAATATTGAAACACTTAAAAAATTGTCATTATCTAATCAGATTCCTGCGTCTAAGAGAAACGGATCTTGGTCTGAAAGTATTTTGTTGTACCTTGGCAAACTGCTTCTGTTTACTTTGAAATTAGTTTTTAGTACAACTGATTTCGGATTCAGCACCAAAAAATACTCACTGAGGTCTATTAGTGGCTGTGTAGTATACATAACAAACGCCATCTTTCAATAAGTTATCTACGGCTTAATCCAACCGGCAATCTTCACAAGCTCTCAGTAGAAGAAAAACACATTCCCAAATCTTGTACATTTGGGATGTAATGTCTTTTTTAATTTAATTTTTTTTCCCGGTGAGTGTGGCTCGCAAGAACCTAAACCTGCATCTGTAGAGTTGGTTTCTGGCAAATATACTACATAAAGTCAAAACTAGATTTTAAGCAAGTCTAACTTTAGTGGAAAGTTTCGTTCCCTTGATATGTACTGAGGGGCGACTTCAGAGCCAGTGGCTGCGCAGTAGTGAATGAGATGTGTTACTAAAACACACACAGCGCCAGGAAGGAAGGAAATCACTTCGCGTTTCCGAAGCAAGCGAATTTCCGAGTTGCAACTGGCCAAATGGCTTTAAGGACCTGGGTTTTGACGCAATTTCAAAAGAGCCAGGCTCAACGCACCTCGCACATTCTCTCAGATTCCCCAGAACTCAGATCCAGTTGGTGACAAACTGGTGACTGGTTCTGCAGAGGACAGTGGGTCGGTTTTGGGGTGACAGGGATCCCGGGGTCCCTGAGGGCGGGGGTTCAGGGATTATCTCCCCTGGGCCAAACGCCCAGTTACCTCTGACGTGCCCCCACAGAGATCACTGAGCTGGCACACCAAGGCCAGCTTCCCCAACAGAAAGGCGGCGTTGCTGCAACACCTGCAGCTAAATTTCACAGCCCTTCACCGGCCGAACTAATGCACCTGTACTTACATTACTAACCTGGAGGGCGGCTAGAAGGGGTAAACGGAAAGGGGCGGGAAAAGGGAGGTGGGGGGAGGAAGGGTTTAGGGAAAGGGGGAGGGGAGGGGCGGGACAGCGTGGGGCAGGCCCAGGGTTTACAGGCGGGATCCTAGCGTTCCCATGGAAACGTATCCCTCCGCCCGCGAGCAGCGTCTCGGCCCCTTCAGTTCCCTCCGCGCCGCTGCCGGCGGTTTCCGCCCAGCTCCTTTGTGCCGCGCAGAACGCTGCGACGACGCATGCGCGCTAGGCCCCGGCCGCGGCGTATATAAGCGCGGTCCCGGGCGCTTCCTGCTAGAGCCGCTCGGACCGTTGGCGAGCGAGGGCGTTCTGCGCTTGCGAGTCCCTCGAGCCGTGTGCGCTGAGCTGAGGCGGCAGGGCACGCGGGCAGGTCATCATGTCGCGTTACGGACGGTATGGAGGAGGTAAGAGGGCCGGGTCTGGGGGAGGGAAGGACGCTTGCCGTGGGTGGAAGTGAGCGGTGCGAGGCCGGAGCGTTGGCGCGGCGGTTGGGGAGACGGTTATTCCGCGTGCGTAATGGCGGCCTGGGCGCACGCCCTGCGAAGCCGGAGGCCGCGGGGGCGGGGTGCCGGGGGAAAGCAGGAGGGCGCGTGGCCGTGTTGGGGTGCGCGTCTCGCGGGGCGCAGCCGGGTCCCGGAGGACAGGGCTTGTTTTGTTGTTTTTTTTTTTTTGCGGGTTCCCTTGCTGGGCCCGGCCCGCCCGGCTCCCTCCCCATCCCCCGCCCTCGGCGGCGGCTGCCATTTTGCGCACATTGACGACCGCGGTGGCGCATTTCCTCCGGCGCTTTCCCGCCACTGGACCCGGCGGGATCTGGTCGCGGTCGCGAAATGACGGTTGCATATGGGAGACGGAACGAGCGAGCAGCGCGTCCTCTTCGCTCCCAAACGGTGCAATTGCCCGGGGTTGGGCATGGGGCGGTCATCTTAGCGACGGGTGGCTGATGCTCTTGGGGGAGCGCGGTGTGCGGCTCGGGGTCGGGGGAGGGCGGCGAAGAGCGGTTGTCCGGGGCCAGTCTGAGCCTGGAGGCGATGGCCGGGGCCGTTCGCAGCGCGCCCGTGGCTGCTCGGACCCCGGATCCCGCCTGGCTTTGCCCTCCGGTTAGAGTGTGGCTAGCTGGTCAGGAGTGGAAGGACTTCCGGTACTGGAACTTCGGCGGAGCGCCTCCAACACGTTTTGCACGGTCCTAGGAGAGGCCCGTTTTACGGCAGAGTGGGACCAAGTTCTGCATAACGTGCCTTCTTCTATTTGCATTTTTAAACAGAAACCAAGGTGTATGTTGGTAACCTGGGAACTGGTGCTGGCAAAGGAGAGTTAGAAAGGGCGTTCAGTTATTATGGGCCTTTAAGAACTGTATGGATTGCGAGGAATCCTCCAGGATTTGCCTTCGTGGAATTTGAAGACCCTAGGGATGCAGAGGACGCTGTTCGAGGACTGGATGGAAAGTGAGTATCATTGTCCTTAGAATGTTCGGGTGTGTTGGAGAATGAACCGGCGCGAGCTGGGATTTTGTAATTTGTTGGAAATCTTAAAATATCTAATCGTCATGTGAAGATGTGGGGGTTATGGAGAACAGCATAGGTGGAGTTGGGTGGGCTTCTTAGAGACTGGAAGACATAATTACATATATACTTGCAACAATGATGGAGAACAGATGGAGTTGGGTGATCTTAGAGACAGTTGAAGCTTAAAACTTGAAAGTCACATGTATTTTTAACGTTGGAATTTTGTTACTTTTCGTTTGTAGAGTGATTTGTGGTTCCCGAGTGAGGGTTGAGCTATCCACAGGCATGCCCCGGAGGTCACGTTTTGATAGGCCACCTGCCCGACGTCCCTTTGATCCCAATGACAGATGCTATGAATGTGGTGAAAAGGGACATTATGCTTATGATTGTCATCGCTATAGCCGACGAAGAAGAAGCAGGTATTTAATTTAATAAAGAAATGGTTGGTATTCTAGTTAATGTAATTTTTTAATTAGCAAGGCAGATATTAGTGTTTTCTTTAAATTTGAATGTTAATTATACAGGTGTATTTTACAATTTTTGTTTAATTAAAAATGTTAATATATTAATAATCAACCTGGTCAAAACCTTTCAGGTTTCTTCGTTTGAGTCAGTCGCCTTGATTCAGAATGTCACGAGCCTTATGATATCATGCTGAGGCGCCTTGCAAATCCGACAATTAAGATCCTCCTAGACCTTGAGGTGATCAGCATAAGAGGCCAGATCCCCTCGAGCCATCTACACCTAGCTTCACCTTATTTTAAAGGGCAGAAAATTTGAGACGGTGATCGCCTTAAAGTAAAATTGGCTTACAATTGGGGCCCCCTCCGGTTTAGAAAGAGGAACACCAGATTGACCACATTCCCAACTAGAAAAATCTTCTTGCGTCAATCAAGCCTCACCTGGCTCATTTGGCTGTCAGTTTGATCGTCGTTAGATTGAAGAAAACATCTAGATGCAGCGATCGGCTATAGATACTTCTAGATCGTCTAGATCTACTAGACCTACTACTAGACCATGGGCCAAAGAGGGTCGACCTGCAAACTTGCAAGGTTTATTTTAAATACACCTTACAGTGTTTTTATTTTTGTAATTATAAGTTGTAATTCAGCTTTTAACAAATCTCTCTTTAGGTAGTAAAAAAAAAAAAACTGGACAACTAATAGGGTCAGAGCTTTTCAGAGCTTTATTTCCAAATGAAACATTAAATTTAAATAGTTTGGAAATTTGATTTCAGCAGAGGCATTGACACTCTAAACACGAGTGATTATCTGACATATGGTTGTTTTCTGACTTGAAAAATAGGTCGAGGTCTAGATCACATTCACGATCCAGAGGCAGGCGGTATTCCCGCTCACGCAGCAGGAGCAGGGGACGGAGGTGAGTGGGCTTGATCTGAGTCGGGTCTTAATAAATCACAATAGTAAAAAGTAAGGAGAAGCTGGTTTGGAGATGGATTGAAACTTTTGTCAAATTATAGGTCGAGATCGGCATCACCCCGACGGTCAAGATCTGTGTCTCTCCGCAGATCGAGATCAGCTTCGCTCAGGAGGTCTAGGTCTGGTTCTATAAAAGGATCGAGGTATTTCCAGTATGTAGCACCTTTTTTCCTCCTCATTGTAGTTAGATGATCAAGTCCTAAGGGCATGAGTCAAATGGGTTGCTAACATTTTTTGAGGTGTAAAAGCTGAAGTTAATGCATGAGTGTAGAAGCACAACTGAAGTGAGAGGGGCTGTTGGTGGAGCTAGTTTCAAAGCAGCTAATCATTCCAGTAAATATTCGGGGGGAGGCATGGTATCGGGTTAAATCTGTTCACAGATGCATAATTCCAAAAGCTGGTAGGTAATTGAATTTTGAAAAAGGACTGCTAGAATCAGTCAGAGATTGCCAAGGAAATTGAAACTTTTTCACTTGAAGAATAATGGGATGAGTTTGAAACCCTGGAAAGGTTGTTAAAAGACTTGAAAAGTGATGGAATGGATGCATTTGGGGAGATGAGTTACTGCTAATAGAGTGAAGCAGTGCTGCTGGGGGTTAGTGGCAGAACCTCAGAATGCCTTTTAGAAGGATCATCGGCTTCATCTACTTGGAGATGAAGATTCTTAGTTTCACAAATAACTGGCCTGAGCATTGAAGCTTGCTCTGAGCCAGGATAATTGCTCAGTGGTGGCTTTCCTTTCCTGGATCTTTATCATCTGAAGTCTGTAGTCTTTAAGTTGTGGTTAATTCAATTCCTGTCCAAGGAAGCCAGGCTTTTCAAATAAAAACCAACCATGACCATTACACGGGGTTTGAGAATCCTGTTAGTCTGTACAGGATATGACCAGTTTTGAGTAACAGAAGTGATTAGAGTGATGGTTCCTTAGAGCTGACATCTGATTATTTGGAAGTGGTCATATTGCAGCTTCTGTTCTTAGCTCAGGTGGTAAGGTGCTCAGAAAGTGTTGAAGGAAATGTGTATGGACTAATCGGTCAATGTATTTTTGCCTCTTTTATTAAGATCTCGATCAAGATCAAGGTCAAGATCCAGGTCTCTTTCTCGGCCAAGAAGCAGGTAGGAAAAATATTGACTAAGTGTTGTTCTAGAATCTAGTATATGGCACCAATATCCAAAGAGTTCAAAGTGTTTTTGAATGGTTGGAATTTTTAATTATTGACACTAAGCTTAGGCTTTGAGAGGGAACATAGTACCCTATTCATAAATCAAACTTGATTTTTATGTGGCTTGTTCCGGCTGGATTGCTGGCCTAGGAACTATGAAACAAGAGGAGGTGGTCATATTGGGGCTTGCAGCACAAATTGGCTGGATTGGTTATATTGGCCCTTGTCAGCACGAATGTATTTTAGGCAGAATGTGAAAGTAGTTGTAAAACAGTGGCTTGTTTATGAAAATGATGGTTGTGAGACAGTTTGGGTGTTTGCCTTGCGGTATTGTGACAAGCAGCAAAGGGATTGGTTAGTGCTTTCTCTTAATAGAATTTCTCATGTTTTGACAGCCGATCAAAGTCCAGATCTCCATCTCCAAAAAGAAGGTAAGCTAAGTGTTTTGTTGCTAAATCTCACCTGTCAAATGTGGCCTCTGCAGAATTTATTTGCTTACCGCCCTTTTTCAAGTCTTTGAGCTCTTTGGAAAATTGGTGCTATATAGATTGCTTTTGAGATTTTTTTTCATCAGTTGACTTTGTAAATTTTTAGTCAAAATGTTAGTAATTGTAGAATTTCAGTTAAAGTAAGCCTCTCCGTATTGTGCAGTTTAAAATGAAATACTCAGGAGAAAATAATCTTGGAACCAAATCATTACCTGCCTATTGCTATTTAATGACTCCCCTCCCCCCCAAAATCTTCAAATAATTATCCTACTTAGGTTAACCCTGCAATTTTGGCAAGGATGGTACTAAGTAGCTGGTATTAAGCAGGGATAAGAAATAAGTGAATGTCAACATGTAGGTCTTTGCTGTAGAAGCTTTGTGCCAATGTGGTCAACTCTGAACTTGTTGAAATTGTTCTCTTGACATGCGTGTGAGAAAAGTGAGTTGTAATAGCCACTAACTGGTTCCAAACCCGATGTTTTTCTTTTTAGTCGTTCCCCATCAGGAAGTCCTCGCAGAAGTGCAAGTCCAGAAAGAATGGACTGAAGTTCAAGTTCACCCTTTAGGGAAAAGTTATTTTGTTTACATTATTATAAGGGATTCGTTATGTCTGTAATGTAAAACTTAGGAAGGATATTTCAACCATCTAATCAAAATGGATCTGGGTTATTACTCTGTAAATTCACAGCAGTAAGATAATATACATTTTTGTTGAATGTATTAACATCCTATGGTCTGAAATGTGGGTTTTTATTTGGCACATTTAAATAAAATGTTTCTAACTAGATTTTTGATTTGTGTTCAATATTAACACCTCTCTGTTATTAATCCTATTCACACACACTTGCAGTCAGTTTAATGGTGTTGGTTGAGTTCTTGAACATCATTAACTTTGACATACAACTTTTGGTCAGGGTCTTAAGGGACTTGGGAAAATTGTGTTTTCAAGCTTTGGGGATGGGATGATCTGGATTCCTCAGTTTTCCCATGAGTGCTCGCTGACACATCCTAAGTAGCTGCTGGAAGTTGGTGTTAAGAGTCTGTCCAACCTAAAGATCTCTGGTTTGTCAAGCTAGAGGGCCATTGTGTCAGGACCTGCGCAGAGCCCAAAAGTAAAAGAACCCAGGACTGCCGTTTCTGGACGTTGTTTGAAATTAGTAAATGAGGTTTTTAGACAGGTGGGAAATGGTGTCTACTCTATTTTGTTAAACATGAATTTTAATACCAAAAATGCATGTTTGAGAGATTGTCTGAATTTGGGACAGAAACATGTAAACCAGCTTTGCAAAATTGGCCAGCCTAGATACTCTCCTGTATTCCTTTGCCTTAATAAGAGCAAAGGCCTGTTTATTTCCCAAGCTAGCCTTTGTAGTTCCCAACCATCATTCTTCCTATTTTGCCAGGCTGGTGCAGTTATTAAAGATGTCAATCAAATGTTAATGAGACTAAAGGAGTTTTATAAATGTCACCTGTGTTTAGCGATACTTCTTTGTGCTCAGTTATTTGGGTAGCATCTGGTAGACGGTAGAATGTTGCAGCCAGTAGGTGGAGATGCAGTACCTTCAGTCCTGGCCTGAAGTACTGAGCCCGGGTCCGGCATTGCCCTGTGGGAGTACTGCTTTGCCTCCAGTTCACTGGTGGTCTGAGCAGTCCGTTGGTGTGTGACAGTTCCTGAGATTCCTTTTGGAGTTTTGACACTGGCTGAAATAATTGGTTACTATATAAAACTGTGTACTTGGCAGGCCTGTTTATCTCTTGCACTTGGTTAGCTTTACTTGTTCTGTATTACAAAGATGAGTTTACCCGACAATAAATCTACAGAGTTGAATAAATGATCCTGATAAATCAATTTTTGAAAGAGTGAGCCTTCAGCTAAATCCTAGAAAGGGTAAAGGTGTGTGTGGGGGGGACGCAATGGGTTGAAATTATTTTGAGAAACCTGTTAGCCTTATGGGGAAACGGAATATTATTTGAAGTTACATCTTTATTGAAAAGTCAGATACACAGAGAGGGGAGAGAGGAAGATTTTCTGTCTGCTGATTCACTATCCAAGTGGCAACAGTTGGAGCTGAGCCGATCCTAAACCAGGAGCCAGGAATTTCTTCCAGGTCTCCCACGTGGGTGCGGGGGTGCAAGCCTGCCATCCTTTACTGCTTTTCCAGGTCACGAGTCGGGGAGCTGAAGGGAACCCAGGACGGGATTAGAGGGCCCCCATACGGGATCCTGGCCTGTGCATGGCGAGGACTTAGCTGCTAGGCTATGGTGCTGATCCTATAAAGTAACTTCTTTACTTTTTTCTTAAAGTAGTACACAGCTTTTTAAAAAATTTTAGAACTTTATGAAATTATAAAGATGTGCTTACTTGAAAGGCAGAATTAAGAGAAAGATTGCTGGTTGTTTCCCCAATTGTCACAATTGGGATTGTGCCATGCTAAAACCAGGAGCCTGGAATGCCATCTGGTTCTGGCATGTGGGTGGCAGGGGTCCAAGTGCTTGGGCCAGTTTGCAGCTTTCCCAGATGCATTAGCAAGAAGTTAGAATCTGCAACTAGGGCAAGAGTAGCATGCACTGGGATTCCGTATGTTCTGGCTACTCCACTTAACCGTCCAGCTTCCTCCTTGTGGCCAGGGAAGGCATTTGAGAATGGCCCAAGGTTTTGGGACCCTGCACCTATGGAAAACCCGGAGGAGGCTCCTGATTTGGTTCAGGTCCATCCACTTGGCAGCCACTTGGAGTGGATCGGCAAACAATTTTCTCCTCTGAATCTGACTTTCCAACAAAAATGAATAAGTGAGGCAAAAAAAATATTAAGCAACCAGTACTCCATATGGGATCTGGTGTTGCAGATGGCAGGTTAATAACCATTCGGGTCAGGAGTAAACCCGTTAAATGAACAACAAACACCTCCCTTCCCTTGTCCTGTATTCCGAGTGCTTAGGCCGGTAAGCTTTTCTGATCATAGTACTTACGCTGCTGATAGAATCATGTGCTTTGCCTATTCATTCTGCCAAACTGCAGGCAGTCACTGATCTTGCCGAAGTTTCCCCACTTGTCTGGATTGTTACACTGTACTGGGATTCAGAGCACGTGGCCTTTTGATTGGTGTGTCAGTTGATCATAGTTCCTTCCCCGCCCCCATTAAAGCTTGTTTATTGAAAGCAGCAGAGAGGTAGAGACCTATCTTCCGTATGTTGATTCACTCCCTAAAGGGCCAAAGCCAGCCTGGTGTGGGCCAGGCAGAGTCGGAAGCAGGGAACTCCATCCAGGTCTCGCGTATGGGTGACGGGGACCCAAGCGCTTGGGCTGTCTTCTGCTTTCTCAGGCATGCTAGCAGGAGGCAGGATCAGAAGTAGAGCTGCTGGGACTTTAGCTGGCACTCTGGTAGGAGATGTTGGCATTAGAAGTGGTGGCTTCTGTATAATCCTTTGTTGGGATCTACCACAGTTGATACATTTGCATACCTGCTGTCTTAGTTACTTCCAATAGGAAGCAGGTTAATAAGGTTATATGCAGGCTTATGTGTAAGCTGTGGTAGTTTGCAGTTCCTTTGAATGTTAGTACCAAAGAGCATGATTGCTGTGTTGTATGGAAGAGTGTTTATTCTGACTGCGGTCTCCCAGTGGGATGTGACTGCATGGGCAGCAGCATTGCAGGAGAGCTGCCTGCTTGCTCCCAGTAGTTCCGGTCTGCACTGTGCACTGTGGCCATTTAAACTAGCAACCAGTTGTATGTTTACATTTACATTTCCTTGTTAGCATGCAGCATTTTTCATATGCTGAATTATGCTGATTGGCCATCTCTGTTGAAAGGCCTGTTAAGGGTCTTTGTCCTTTTTTTTAGTCTTCTGAAAGTTTTTGTTTGTTTTGAGAGATGAATTACAGGGAGATTTTCCACCCACTGATTGGCTTTGCCAGGGCTGGACCAGGTGCTTACCTTGTGCATAGCGGTGAGCTGGGTCAGACTGCTGGGCTCCTGCTGTGCCAGTGTCAGCCTCAGGAGGGCAGCAGTTCTGTCTACAGCAGCAGGTGTGTATAGGGATCCTAGGGATGGATCCTAGCCTGGAGCAGCAGCTTGGGTCTGAGCATACTCAGAGTTTGGTGGCAACTGTGGCAAAATATGTGTTTTTTTTTTTCCCCTCTGTCTGGAAATAGAAATCTGCTTTGGGTTCCCTTGCTCTCCATGTATTTGAACTTCTGTAGTAGTGAGACCTCTTTGTAATATAATTGGCTATTTATTCTATGGGTATGTAGCCACAGGATGTTGCTCTGTTTCCTTACTGACACCTTTAAGTACTTGGGTGTTGATGGGTGAGTTGATTATTGTTATTTTTTAAGTTTAACTTTTATTGGAAAGGTAGATTTACAGAAAGAAAAATACTCCCTCTGCTGGCTCATTTCCTCCAAATGCAACGGCTAGAGCTAAGTCTGAAGCCAGGAGCTTTTTCTGGGCCTGCCCTGCAGGTGCAAGGTCCCAAGGTTTGAGCTCTCCACTGTTTTCCCAGGTCATAAGCAGGGAGCTCGATGAGAAGTGGAGTAGCTGGGATGTAAACCAGCGCCCAAATAGTATGCCAGTGCTTGTATGTGGAGAATTGGCCAACTGAGTCATAGCATTGGCCATATTTTTTTCTTAAACGGTAGTATAAATGTTTTCATTAAGATAAAAAAATTTTTAAATGATTTATTTATTTTTATTGCAAAGTCAGACATATATACAGAGAGGAGGGGAGAGAGGAATATCTTCTATCCGATGATTCACTCCCCAAGTGACCATAATGGCTGGTACTATGCCGATCTGAAGCCAGCAGCCAGGAACTTTTTCCAGGTCTCCCACATGGGTGCAGGGTCCCAAGGCTTTGGCTGTCCTCAACTGCTTTCCCAGGCCACAAGCAGGGAGCTAGATGGGAAGTGGAGCTGCTTGGTAGAACCAGTTCCCATATGGAATCCTGGTGCATTCAAGGTGAGGACTTGCCGGAGAACAGCTCCAGCTGAGTTCAGAACTCAAGAAGGGTGCGAGGATGAGGTGTAAAGAGGAAAGAAAGACGGACCACTAGGATTTCATGATCATAATGGACAATGCGGGGAAGCTGTCCACTATATTTATACAAAATCAGTCAAACTCTGGCTCAGACTTTTTACGTCACTGTCAAGTTGGGAATTTCTAAGAATAATTCTGCCATAGTTTTACCTAGAAACATTACCTAGAAGTTTCTGCTAACAGTACCTAGAAGTTCCTACTACAATTCTTATCCTACAACTCAATCTTGTATCACAAAGAAAAGGGGAATCTAAAGAATGAGGAAAGAATGAAAGCCTAAATCTAGATTCCTTGATTAGCATAGGCTCAATGGGGACAGCCAAGACAGTAGGAATAACTGAGGGCCCTTTTGCAAGACATTAACCTCCAAGCTCAGACTGAGCAAAAGGCCATCCTCGCAGTAGCAAACAAATGCCAGGATGGACTAAAATTCTTCCGCAGGGTGGAGTTGCATTCAGGTGGTTGTAGAGACGTCCGCCAGGCGGGCCCTGCCTAACAGTGGGAAATTCCTTGCGGCCCTGCCAGCAATGGAACAACACTCTTCACCCCTTCATGTCCCCCACATCTACTGCACGGACCCCAACAAGGACTTAGCCACTAAGCCACGGCGCCGGGCCCAAGATAAATCAATTTGAAAGGGGGGAGGCCTCTCCAGGTCTGCCATGTGGGACGATAGGAGCTCTAATTTTTAGGCCCTCTTCAGCCGTTTTCCCAGGCCATTAGCAGGGAGCTGCATGGGAAGTGGAGCGGCTG